CCACCTGGTGGTAAGTGGTGATGCAGCCTTAGATGGTAAATCGCACTGTCTTATCGTAACAAAAGCCTATTCACTCTTGCCTTGAAGATGCCCAGATTGTATTCGGACGGAAAGATGGATGCCGGCAAATTATTCCACTCCTTTGCTGTACGCATTACAAAAGACGAAGCAAACCGTTTCGTTCTAATGCGTGGAATATCGACAACAATGGGATGAAGACCCGCCGACCGTCTTGTTATCCGATGGTGGAAAGGAGACCGAAATGCATCCTATAGAATACCGAGAGACTGGCTACTCTGCGCCTGTGCTCGAGGCTGACAAGATTGGTTTCAACCAAATCAAGGTCACCAATGAGCCTCTTACCACGTCTCTCCACTGAGTTCAATGCTGCCAGGTGGCATTTTGCAGCACCAGCCCATATGTGACAGCAGTACTCCATGCACGACCGGACTTGCGCTTTATATAAGGTAAGAAGCTGCCCCGGCGTTAAGTACCGCCGCACCCTTGCAAGGACATCAAGTTTCCTTGCGGCTGCTTTGGCTCTGGACTCAATGAACCGCTTCCGTTTAGGTTCGGAGAAAATTCAATCCCTAACAACTGAAGGTCACGGTCAGTGTACTCCAAGGATACATTCCGGAAAGTAGGAGCCAAGGTGAACGGGTTCCATTTAGCGGTAAAAAGAGAGAGAAAGTGTTTTGGAGGCGTTAAATCTCACGAGATTAGCATCGCCCCATTCGGAGACTGCCTGTTGTGAGACTCAAACGCTAAACCATAGCCTCTCTTTCTGACTGGATTTGATCCCGACTGGCCCGGGCGCTTGGTTGGTATCTCTCCACAACTGTGCTGTCGTCTGCATACCCATAGACGCCGGGAATGAGCAGATCATTTATATGCAGCAGGAAGAGAGTTGCGGAGAGAACCGACCCCTGAGGAACACCGGCGTTAGTCGCCACAGTATTGGATGAGCAGCCATCAACGACGACCCGGAGAGACCGTTCACTCAGAAAGTCCTCCACCTAGACAATTAGGCCAGGGGATAAGCCGTACGCTGAAAGCTTGCCCAATAGACTAGCGTGCCAAACCCCGTCAAAAGCCTTCGAAACATCGAGGGAAACAGCAAGTGCTTCACCACTGTTCTCGAGGGCTTCGCCCCATATGTGAGTGGCATACGCTAGAAGGTCCCCAGTTGATCGATTTCGGCGAAACCCATACTGGCGATCACTGAGGAGATCATTTTGCTCTAGGTATGCCATGAGGTGGGCGTTCAATATACGCTCCATAATCTTGCAGAGTATGGAGGTAATTGAAATTGGCCTATAGTTGGCAGGGTCGGTACGGCTACCTTTTTTAGGCACAGGCTGCTCATTGGTCAGCTTCCAAGATTTAGGCACTATTCCAATCCTGAATGAGAGGCGGAACAAGCGTGTCAACACAGGAGACAACTCAGGTGCACAGACCTTTAGAATTATAGCTGGTATACCATCAGGTCCACTAGCTTTGTTCACGTCTAGACTTCGCAAGGTTTTAAGAACCTCCTTGTTGGTGATACGGACCTCAGACATAGAGGTACCGCAGTGAGGTAATTGGGATGATACGCTGTTGCTACTGTCCAGACGCGAATTGCAAGCAAAAAGAGAAGCAAATAAGTCCGCTTTCCCCTTAGGCGCATGCGCCAGTGAGCTATCTGGTTTTACCAGCGGAGGCAGTGTAGACCGACAGAAGTTTGTCTCGACCGCTTTGGCGAGAGACCAAAAAGCTCTACTGCCAGATGGTTTGACAGAGAGCTTTGTGCCGATGCGTTTAATGCGGTCGAAACTGGCTTGGCGTAATGCCTTTTTGCACGACTTGGCGGCTTGGTTAAAGGCTCTCTTCTTAAGGCTAACATCCGGAGCTTTACGGTCTCGAGCATCGACCCAGAATAAGTATGCCATATGCTTGTGATTTTCAGCACGAGCGCACTCGGCGTTAAACAAAGAGCGAGCTTTACCACCAATGGGCACGTCAGCAAAGGGGATGAAATACTCCATCGCTTGACGTATCACATTGGTTATGGCATCCGCGCAGCTCGATGGGTCTCCAGAGGAGAAGCAGAGCTGCCGCCAAGGAAAAAGATGCAAAGAAATGCCGCACCTCATCCCAATCTGCCGACTAGTATCGCCACATTCGTCGCACTCCGTGGAAATCGTAGTTAGGTGGGGAATATAACGACACAGATTTCACCAGACAGTGGTCAGCAGTTCCCAAGGGTGAGGTAACCTGAACATCGTACCTGTCTGGATCGGTCATCAGCAGAAGGTCGAGGCAGTTGGCTGTGTGCCCATCCACATCAGGTACCCTAGTCGCTTGTTGTACCAGCTGCGAGAGCCCCAGCGACAAGGCAAAATTCCACGCCTCTCTCCCAGCGTGGTCGGTCTTCTGGTATGGGAACAGCCAGTCCTGATGACAGGCATTAAAGTCCCCCAGAAAAACCAACTGTGCATTAGGGTACCGATTTAGAGCCACATCAGAGGTTTCACTGAGGTGTTCAAACAGCCTAGTTGTCTCCTGGTCGCCGCTGTGCGATCGGTAGACAGAAGAATAAATAATTTTATCCATTCCTGTGTCTATCAATACCCAGATCGTAGAGAAAGTGGGGTCTTCAAGGTGACGGAGACGCTTACAGCAGATGTGCGTTGCGGACGTAAACACAGACTCCGGCGCGCTGATGGAAATTATGCTCCAGTGTGTACCCAGGGTAGCCAAGGTACGCCGTATCTAGAGGACATCTGATCTGCGTCTCAGTCAAGAAGAGGAAGTGCGGCTTGTCAGTCTCAAGGTGGTAATGGACTGCATTGATATTACAGTGCAGGCCTCGGATGTTTGTGAGGTGCACTTTGATGGAGAGGGAGTGCAACTGCTGTACAAACTTACTCTTCTTTTTCCTTTTTTTCATTAATGGTGGGAGGGAATAGGTTGAGAGAATGACAGTTGGACGAGGCGTCACACGTATAACCTATGAACGCAAACAGTCATAGCATCGATGGTACCTAGCATGGAGATCGCGGGGACGCCCGAACCCCCCTGGAAATCGCCACCAGGCCCTCCCCTCCGGTCGCCAACCAGCATGGTGGAGCCATCCCAGGATTTTTCGTAAGATGGCGCGGCAGCCTTTCATGAGTGGCTGGCTCATTAATTGGGCCCCCAACTATCTACGGTCGGCCAGCGGTGCAACCGTGCTTCGGATCCCGCTAACCTCCATAACCAGGCACCTGACACTAAGAAACGGCCGCGTCGCAACCGGTCCGTATGCGTAACGCAACTGTCCAGACCCATTCTCCCTAAGAAATGGGTTTCATACCGGAACACGATTTCCATCATTTGGCAGTATGTCTTTGCCAGGTGGGTGGTAACTAACCCTCGGCCGGGCCTCTCACTAGTAGAGGACCAACCTACCACCAGTATGTAGTACTGCTCGTTTAGCACTACCCAGGGGATACGTGTAGGGAATCAGGATTCAAGTAATTCCTACGGACGAGAGCAGCTTCATCCCCCAAACTCTACTCTACTCATGAAATATTCTGCAAAATTATGTCTTATTTCCATAGCAGATTGATTTTTTGACAATTTTTTTATTTTTGACAAATTTGACAATTTCTCTGCGCCAATATCCTTCCACAATATCATGATCCATATTTTAAGAATCGAAGGTTCCATGTGGGATGTACAGTGATTTCGATTGACTATTTCGCCTTAAAAAGTTATGTAGGTATACACACGCCATTACAACAACTTCTACATTAGAGCATCAACCTTGGCAAATCCCTATGAAGAGGTGGGGGTGATGTGTGAGTTTAATTCGCATGAAGACTGACGCACCAGACCTGAGTGTCTCATATGAACTCTATCTTTCTGTTTCTTCTACAAAACTTGGACCTGGCCCAGCTGATTTAGCATCAAATAGATGCATTGATTTTTATTCTATATGTTAAAGCAGTAAAATCTATTGAAGATTTGACAAGCATTTGTATATTTAACGTGTAATACTAATCACACATCCACAAAATAAGTGATGACAAAGGTTTGTAATGGGGAATAATGCTGGGCAGAGATGGGAAATCACGACACATCTTGTTATGTAAGCCTCAAGACTTAATAGAATAGAATAATTTTTATTCAATATATATTACAAGTAATTTTTATTGAGTCATTTTTTACTATTACCACTCATTATCAATTTGCTCGAGGTTACTCAGTGAGTTATGGAGATGGCTACGTTTTTTTTTATATATAGAATAGGGGTGACAAATGAGCACACAGCCTACCCGATTGTAAGTGGATGCTGTAGCCCAGATGCATTCTCACCCCCGGTTTTCTCACGATACAAAACACAGCAGCATAAGCTGCTATTTTACGCTGGTATTCTGTGAGAACATGGTCCTACACTGTACAAACTGACCCATTCGTGTCAAGAATTTCTCTTTGAGAAGACTGTAATGAGGATATCTGTAATAGAACCAACATATTTGGCCGGCCATATATCTCGAAGATTTAATATCGATGGAAAAGAAAGAGTTATGAATAACAGTCTCATACCACTAAGCGAAATATAGGGCAGCCCGCTACTAGATAAGAGTGACAACCTGGCAAGAGATGCAGGAAGTTGATGGACGCAAATGGCACAGCACCATGTTTTGGGATTCATTGGGAGAGGTCTATGTTGAGCTTGACTTTAGATGGTGATAACATCATCTTTACAGCCCATCATTACAAGTCCACTATAATGGGGAACAACATTAACAGCGGTGATACGCTGCCCAACAGCAATCTTTGGGTTTGAATTTAGCCTTTTGGTGTAAGATTCTGGTCTGTCGATCACCAAGGTGAACCAGAAGGAGGTGGGTTACCATATGAAGAAAGGGTTGGCCTATTTGCTTTTAATCCTTGAACCATATTTATCATAAAATAAATATAATCAATAAGACCATTGTTACAACTAATCAGATAAATTTCTGTCAACATACCTGCAGAGTTTTTCCAAGGCCCATGCAATGTGCAAGAATGCATCCAGAGCCTTTGTCCTTTTTAATCCGTTTCACACTCTCGAAGCAGGCATCCCACATGAATTTTATACCATTCGCCTGAGAAAAAAAAAAACAATATTTCATAAAACACTTATATGTATATGATCATAATTTATCTATAATACCAAACACACATTTACAATGTTTAAGTTTGACCAACAGCAAAAGTCAAAGCTAACCTGCAACACGCAAAATACTCGCTTGTGAAGTTGCGGAAACTAGCCCTTATAATACTAATACTAACACAAAGCCAAAGCTAATGACTGATGTAGGTACTGCAAATTGCACATAAAACGTGATCTTAGTTTTTTTTTTTATCTGTAGAACTTTTAGTCAATAAAACATACTCAGTTTAATTATTGATATAAACTTAGGACTACAATACTGTAAAAACAAAAAATAAATTTTTAATATAACCTGATGTGGTTTAAGTTTCTTTACAAGGCCCCTGTCAACTTCAATCAGCGGCTCCTTTGTTTCTGGATCAAAATCGAGGACTACCTTCTCCAAAATTACTTCATCAGGTTTACCAGATTCATCAAACTCCAGGTTATTGTACTGAAATAATAATGTATGTAATAATATATGTTACATTGATTTAATTATTTGATATTTTCATGATAGAATTTGAGAACCACACATAGTATTTAAAATTTTTTGATTATTTAAAAAAAAATATATAAATCATTCTTACAATATCTGGTAAAAATTTATATAGGAGCAGTCTTGTAATAAAACTATGAATACCAATAATATTATATATTCTAATATGAATTAAAATACTTACCATCTTCTGCCTTTCCGCAATTCGGGCAATCCTCTCTTTTTCCTCGCGCGCTGCCTTCTTGGTTGCTTCTTCAAGTTGGTTTTTACCCATAACCTAAACACAGTAAATAAAAATTAGAGAAAGATAGAAATAGCAAAAGCTACAATTGCTATTTGATACTAAAAAAAAATACAAATATTTCTAGACATACTGACATATTTTTGATTTCTCTGTTACCAGGTTGCCTCTTTGCCTTATTTTTCAACAAGTTTTTCATAAGTACTACGAAGTAACTATCATATTAATGTCAACTAAGTTAACGAATAAGCTTGCTGACGACTTTTTTATATCCGCCCATTTGACAATATTATAATTTTACAATATCCACTTTACATTGTTAATTGTTAAATATCCTCTGTTTTTAATAACTTTTTATTTACTCATTCTTTAAAAAACGAGAAAACTCTTTATTATTTAGAACCCACCTTCCGAATATTCTTCCTGCCATGCTTATTTCGACCTTCATTTTCCGTATCGGAGTCAGACCCGTCACTGTCATCTACGTTCTTGATGCGACGTCGCTTCTTCTTCCTGAACATTTTTTATACTGTGAGATAGAGCCATTATCGATTTTATTTAGCTCTCTTCACTTCCACAACTAGGACCAATCTAACAACACCCCATATGATAAAATCCATCAAGCCATTTAAGCTACAAAGTAATCCAAAGAAGTAGACACATACATATGTACATACGCTTGAAAATCATTACCCTCTCTTTCTGGGCCAGTCAGATAATAAAGGGCAACCTTATTGCTAAATGTGATCTCCTTAAGGCAACAAAAGAGTCGTTGAGGAAAAGTTGTACATTAAAAATAAATAAAATAAAAACAATGAACCACATAAATATGAATTATATATAATACATATATATTTACATATTTTAGATAAATTGAGGGGAAGAAAGTCGCAGATTCAGCCGAAAGAGAAACAATTACTGCTAAGTTGCTTTGTTTTATTTTGTTGAGGTTTTCACGATAACTGCCCATCCATGAATATTCCCAAGTTCTTGCTAACCTTACTACATTCAATGCCGGTAAATATTACTTTACCCTACGATGTGGAATTGTATTTTAAAGACAAGATTTCTCACCCGCTATCGTCGGAGGATTGATCATCGCTGTCGCTGGGCTTCTTCTTGCGCTTCTTCTTGACGGCTGGTTCTGAGCCGTCGTCATCCGAGTCCTCGAAGTCGCTCATCTTGTGTCCGCGTTCGCGACGCCGCGACGAGCCGGCCTCTGAGTCCGACGAGATGGCGTGTGCTTTACGACGTTTCAACTTAACGCTGACGGTGAATAAACATTAATGTATTACAGAGCCATAGTAATGATTTCTTATATTCATAAAGTTAAGTTAGTTAAAAGTTACAGCCTATATACGTCCCACTACTGGGCAGGCCTTTCTGAAAGGGTTTTAGAGCAAGGAAGTGTCCGCAGCGCTGCCCCAAAGCGTGTTGGCGAACTTCATATGTTTTTTTTCTCAGATATGCAAGTTTCCTTACGATGTTTTCCTTCACCGCCGAGAACGTGGTAAATCAACGCTTAATATTTCAATTAACAATTTCATTGGTGCCGTCGGGGATCGAACCCGGGTTACTCGCGTACTGTGAAGAAACTTTGTCAACTTATTGCTTGCATTTGCGCGAAGGTTATAGACATAGTGCAATTAAGTTACAATAAGGTGGCGCGCATATCGTATCGACAAATTTATGTGAAATGTATATATCATTCAATGTCAATGAATGTATTATCATTGCTAATTAAACAATACAAATATTCCAAATTTAAAGCGATATTTCCACAATTATTTCTTCTGCAGCAGTAACGCGCCGGGTACCAGCTAGTGTACTATATACAGAGGCTATTAAATTTAAGTGATTCAAATGGCCATGCGCCTTTTCCGATAATTCAACCCTTTCCCAAGAGCCCCTAAGAAAGTCATATGAATTCAATACTATAGTTCGCAAGTATACTTACAAAATATTATGAGCGCTTGAAAAACGAACAATAGCGCAGACAGGCGACATCGCGTGTTTGGTACGTATACTTGGAGCAGGTTACCTAAATTAAAGAAATGTGGTGGCAAAAGAGAATTGGTCTCTTGCCATGGTGGTCGTAAGAGTTGACTTAATTAACCCGAAGCCTGAACCATCCACCCGTAGATTTTGCCCGATAGCAACACGTGGTAAGCGAGTATGACGCTAGGCTAGGTTTATGCTGTGACTAGGCATTTGGTTGCGGCGCTAGTGGTATGGCCCCCAAGTGTTTGTAAGACCTACAAATAATTGTTTTACACCTAAAACAATATGATGTTTATCGACATGCAATTTATGTATGAAAAATCTACAACATTTACAAAATTACGATTGAAAATATTTTTTTTACATAAATGTTACATTATTTGCTAAATAAAGGAAAGAGAGATTATGTAAACGCCTGTGTTTGAGCAGAAACCGATGGCGCCTTATCCTAACATTGGATTGTTTTCTCATATAGAGTTTCCAATTCATAGTGCCCCGTGCCCTTTCCTAGCTACGTCCATGTATTCTGTACAATCTACAACTTTTGGTTGCATAACATTACAATTAAAGCTAGTAGTGTGTTAAACAAATATAATTATGATTAACACTTACTTATCTTCCTCTTCAGTATCGGACTTTTTGCTTTCCTGCAAAAAAATATTTAACAGATGCATAAAACCATTTAAGAAATAAAAGGCAAAAGTGTAATTTTTGACTTTAATCCCAGGATTACTGTCTCACTCAACAACAGCACATGATTTCATTATAATTTTTATAGCCATACCAGTCTAATTGGTATATTTGGAAATCAATTAGCTTATTCTTATTATTCTCTCATTTTCTTGATACTTGAATTGTTATCTGTTATATTGAAAAGAAAAAATAAAGTAAATAGAAACTATTCACTAACAATGTTATTATAAAAAATAAAGTTTATTAGAAATATTAAAATTCCTGACAATGTGAACAGTAAAACTCAAACATGTTTGAAATGAAATGGATTAAATTCATACCTCCTGTGAGGCTGTATCCTTTTCATTGTGTGAGCTTGAAGAGTCACTTTCTCCCAGCAGATCGTCTTTAGCCAGGTGCGGGATTCCGTCTCCGTTGATAGCCGACATTGAAACCGTTGGTAATTCTGAAACAAATACAAACATCAACTATAAGAAAACGATATAACTGACAGATATAACAGTCTACTGTTACTACTACTACAGCCCATCACAAATCCACTGTTGAATATAGAACTCCCCCATAGATTGCCACAAGTACAGTCCTGAGCCGACTACATCCATCAACTGCCTGCTTGTTTCAACCGGTAGTCACTTCATCTATTGAAGGGTCGCCCAACACTGCGCTTGCCAGTACGAAGTCGTCACTCGAGAATATTACTTTCCCATCGGTTGTCGGTTCCTCGAGCTGTATGGCCGGTCCATTGCCACTTTAGCTTACTGAACTGCTGGGCTATGTCTGTCACTTTAGTGACAGTGTAAAAATATCCACTACCCCATATCTGCCCGTGGGTGTCGTAAGAGGCGACAGAGGGAAGAACACCAGTGGATGGGTAGCAGGCTGCTACCCATCCACTCTACTAGCAGCGCCTTCTTGAGAAAAGCTTAATAAAAATCAAAAAGCTGCGGTTACCAATCCCCTTGCCAGATGTGTGAACTATGGCATATATTCCATGAAAACTACAAATTTTATAACGGTATGATTCTTTTAACCGCATTTCAACCAATGGGTGACGTAAAGGGTGACTATGGGAAATGCCAGAAAAATCTGGCTCAGATGTCGATACACATAGCAACAAAATACACAGACTAGTGACAAGCAGCAGTGTCAAATGTACGAGACATCTGGCACTGCAGTTATCAATACCCTACCAAGCGTGACGCTAAGGCAAATCCTTCCTTCAATAGCAGAGTCCCATGTTCAGGATTGGATTTGGACAGACGGATGAAGAAGAAAATGTTTACCCTTAATTGCCTTGTGAACAGGATTATGTCGTGAAACAGACGCCTTAGACGGAAGTTAATCGACCAAATAGGCGATATATCGAAAATGGGCCAAATTAAGAGTACCCTTAATAGTTGAGCATGTATGTGGATGTAAAGGAGGTGAGAAAGGAGGATAGTGCCCAAGGGAAGTCCATAGTCTTTGCCTATCCCTGGGTAACAGGCGTGAGAGTTTATGTATGTATGTTGTCAAATACTCACAACAGTTTGAACAGTTTGTTCAAAGCAGAAATTATTTTTCATTTGAAATAATAATCTATCTGTTATACATCCGCTGCTAGTTATTTTGTTAAATTCTACCAACTGCTGTATTATATTGATTTTTGATTACTCTACTGGTACATGTTATACTTAAAAAATTAATGAATAGGTTAATTACCTTCAGCCTCTTCCCCTTCCTCGCTGCCTGCGATCGACGCTGCGTCGGAACTACTCTCAGCCTTGAGAAGGCTCTCGGCTTGGATTCGAGGCACTTTGGGCATATCGCCACTTTTGCTGGATCTCGTCTGCGCTGTATCTGCAGTCTGGTCGGATGACGTTGAACCACGCCGGCGACGCGTCTTGCTCAGCGTGTTTAGGTTCGTTAGTCTGGAATTGAAACTTTTAAATCAAGAAAAGTTGACTGAGTGGTGAATAGAGACATTTTTTATGGAGTGACAGGCAAGCATGCAGTCTAATTGATGGTTAGTATGAACTGCAGGTCATTTTCATCATCATTACAGCCCTTCACAAGTCCACTGCTGATCATAGGCAAAGGTCATGAACACATGCAGCTTAAATCAAACAACCTGGTGTAATCTTGGTGGACCCATCTCTCCGGTACTTTCCATTGATTTCATAAAAATAGTAAAATGTGTTCTGCACAAAAATATTTTTGTGCAAATTGCTTCTTGGCATGTGAGAGCACAGTACATATAGAGTGTAGGCATAAAAAGTTTCGGAACATCGAAACTTTTTATACTTTTATGTCCATTTTTTTATATATATTTTATATGTCTCATACATTAGTGATACAACCGCATTAAATAATGGTTTCAATTTGCATTTTGCACACCTATGTACATTATTGAGAAAGTTAAATATTAACCACCTTAAAGATTTCTTAACGCAGACACTACATATTTAAATAAAATTAGTTTTTACGGATTTTATCGCATATATTAACTTATTTTATATTCCCGACGTTTCGAGCACTTTACAGTACCCGAGGTCACGGGGGGGCGGGGGGCTACCCCCAGATAAAAATTATTAATTTTTGTTTTGATCTACGCAGTACGAACTTACAGTATCTTGAAGTCTTGCAATTGTATGTTTGGGTTGGGATTTATAATGTTATGAAAGTGTTAATTATCCGTTACATAAAGCGATTATAAGTGATGTACTGTTTCATATGTATTTTATTGTTTATATTTTTAAAGTTCCATTTAATTAGAAATTCCACAACAAAAAGTTTCATTCAAAAATCAGGATTTTTTTCTCATAGTATATATGTTATAGTATATACTATAAAACCAGCTAAAGCACTACCAAATTGTTATCACTGCACGGAAGAAATGAGGTGATATATGCTTATATGGAGCCCCTTAACCAAATTATTATTTTAAATTAAAAATATAAATAAAATGTAGAACTTGAGATTGCTTCTATGATTTGCATAAAGTGAATTAATTTTTCTATACATTTACATCAATTTTTAAGTAAGATCATTCCATTTATAAGCATTATTTATACACTACTACTCTTCTTGACTCTTATCCAAATCCTTAATTAACATAGGTACACTTTATTAAATTCTCACACTTAACACACACATTATTGAGTTCCAAAATACACTTACCGGCACTAAAACTTGGCCAAGCCCTTACCTTCGATAACAAAGTTGTGTGTATATAATGAATAATTCTTGAGAAGGTAGGTCAAAAAATGCTTACGAGTTCAAGAGGGTAATTCACTAAGTTTGGGTGCAGTGTGACATTAATTAAAACACATGATTTAAAAGCCCGTAGAGCAACACGCACCCCAGAGTTTATTAGACAGCACCGAGTTCAGAGAAGAAAGACTTCGTTTTGCACGATAACACACCAACTGGACTCACGAGCAGTGGGCTAGTTTTGTTTACAGACAAGCGTAGGATTGTACTACGTGCACTATACAGTCGAGAACAAGTATGAAGAAAAGGAGTAGAACGATTTTCACCCATTACCACCACACAAACCATGAGTTTTCACGGAGGCTCCTTAGTGATGTGGGGAGGAATAAGTTCCGACGCTTGTACAGAGTTGGTTATCGTCAACAACCGCCTAACTGTTGCTCGCGATATGTTGAAGAGATCCTACAGGATTATGCTTTGCCTTATGCGGCGTTCATTGGACACTATGAGCTTCTTCTAAAGCACGACATTCAAGAGCCATTCGCCAGCTCGTAGTCCACACTTAAATCCAATCGAGCACATCTGGGATATGATTGAAAGAAATACTAAATCCTCTTCTATCCCACCAAAAACTTTTGATCAGCTCCGAAATGCAGCATTGGCCGCTTGGACAACCATACTGGAAGTTGATGTTAAAAACATTATCCAGAGCATACCAGAACGAATATAGGCAGTTAACAGAGCTATATGTATATAATGATAAAAAATGGCTTCTTCATTATTTTCTAGTGTTTTAAAGTTGAGCGTTGAAAATTCAAATTTTCTTTAAGTGTGTAGTTTAAATTAACCGCCGCTACAAATTTAATTGTTGGTGTAGTTATCTTTTAATTATCATTAAAAAGTACTGAAAACTTAAGAGACATTTATTGTGCCCACCTATGCAGTATTAATTGAGAAAAAAAAGTATTTAAAAGCAAGCCGTCGCAAAATTCAATGTTAGCCAAGTTTCCGTGCCAGTGAGTGTTTAAACAATTTCTACTCTGCTATTGATCAGTCTTTTAGTCTGATCAATAGCACATACACAGGCCACCGGGGAAGTGGATGCCATATACATCTACATCTATCCTCAACTAAGAATCAAAATACAGAGGCGTTGACAAGGATCGAATGCCTTGTTGCCAGTAAAAGGGGATTCCAGTTCTCTACACTCACCCTACAAAACACAGCAGCTTAAGCTGCTATATGATGGTATTGTGTGAGAGCATGTTCCTTCCCTGATCAAGCGGACCCATTCGTGCTACAACTACTTATAGGAATACCACATATAGAATAGATTTTACTATATGTAGGATATGAAATATATAGAAACGTAACTAGATAAAAGAAATATATACAGAGACTAATCTAGACCATACAAAAACTAGAATTAAATTTTATAAATATTTTTCTTTTCTGACTTTCGATAAGCAATCATTTAGGGCAATCATTAGTAACAACTTATATTCACAACTCTGTTATTAATTTCAAAGACAGTTTTACATGTCCCTCTAGTAATTAAAATTTAAGTTACACAAGCTGCCACGGCTCTCTAAAGAGCAAACAGTAGAATTAGTACCATTAGTCGAAGTTATTGCTGAATTTATTTTAAATTATTTGAAGGGCTGGCAATAAAGAAAAACTGGTATGACTAAATAAAATCATTATTAATTATGTAATTAAGCTGACTTCTGGATGTTATCTCAGTTTTCTTTAAAGGTTGAAGGAATCTACATACTACACTATGACCACTTACTTTTTAAAAATCTTAAAAAAAAAAGAAGAATAACATGCACCCAATAAACATTTTTAATATTAGATAAATAAAAAAAAATAAAAAAAATAAAAAAATAGTAATTAAGAACCAAAAAGATAACTGTCAACCCTGAACTGCCCAATCACTTGTGTTATAGAAACACTTTATTAATCAGATAAAAAGAAAACACTTTGCTGGTTTGAATAAGACTTTATTAATGCATAATATGTGTTATGTTACCATATCCAGTATTCTATAAAACAACAAACACACAATCACACCACTATACTTACGAGCTACTTTCTATGAAGGGCTACCCATATAATACAATTACTTAAGACATTTTATAACTATGAACGTATTTATTTAAAAGATAAGCTAACTTATTGACTAGCAACGGTCAAAAAATTTATAAAAAAATTTCAGCCACATATTTTTACATCCTACATCTATCCTCAATATTACATTTGCAAAGAATGAGTCACTGTTTAGTTAAGGTAGATGGACAGACATATTGAATGTCTTTTACTACCTTTTTTCCATAGAAGCAAATATTTAAAGCACATTTTTAAAGGAATCATTAGTCATTGTAATAGTTGCAGAGCTATGCATGAAAAAAAAACACTTGATGTTGTATGGTGTTACTACTACAATTGCAGAACTAAGAATAGCAATCACAAAAGAGTGCAATATGTTATAGCTTTTGACAAAATCTTTTAGTTATTTTATAATCAGATCTAGATAGACACCATTGTATCAGTGACAAAGGCTGGAACATATATTGCTTATTAAAATAATAGACTTGCTTATTTATTATTAGGGAGAACATAACATAATAAACAGTCTATACAAAATATTTTTATGAAACAATAATCTAATATTACTATCATATTTCTAAATAGCCTTTTAATGCAAAATTGAACTGCACAGATGATTTAGTAATATGCTATTTAAGATACTATTTAACATTTCCTACTTAGAATTCTTAAAATGTTATCATTTCTTAAATTCATAATACCACTATGAATAAAAAAAAAAGTTGAATACAAATTTTAAACATGAAGATTGCAGTGCAAAATATTTCAGCTAGTTTAGATTTAATGTTACTCTATATAAATTCATAAATTATTATTTACAGCATAACATTAATCTACAAATGTTTATTTACAATTCAATTACTCTTATATCATAAATGTAATCATGTATGCAATTTTTTTTTTAATTAATCAGGTTTTGAAATATATTCTACATAATATTATGTACCATCAAAATAAAAATGTTACTAAAAGTTGTTTCTACAACTCATTCTTTTTTATGTTAGCTTATTTTTGGCCATCTATGTCTCCATCTATGTAATAGTACTCATCTATGTACACTTTTTTATATAAATAACATTACATAAAAATGTGCATATAGTCAACTTATAAGATATAAAATCTTGTATTGCCACATAAAAATACTTGATATGGTTTAAGTAAATATTCAGATTCAGATGTAAGACGTTACAAGGATTAATGTGAATGGGCAGTTAATGGGGCTAAATCTTTGATGAAATGACAAAGGAGAATCTCATTTATTCATGATTAAAATTGTTTAAAGTTAGCCATCCCTTAATTCTCATCAATAGTAAAATATTTACCCGTCAATGTCTTTGTCATTTGCATCCTGAGTATCTGAATTTTGACTGCTGCTACTGCCCGGTTTAGCTCTAGAATGGCCCATCTGTAATTAGTTATATTTCAATTTAATCTCTTGCCTTTTAGTTTTTATGAAGTATAAAGAGGTTACTATAGTCTTTGCGTTATAGCATGGTGTGGGTGACAGCTTACACTTTTGAAGTGTCTAGAGATGGAACATTCTTAAATCGATTTAAAAAAAGCGATTAACGATACACAAAGCAAAGGAAAACTTATCGATTAGCTATCAATATAAAAATTAAAACCGAACCATGCATTTCTTTAAAAACTACAATGCATGTAAAATTAAGTTAAAGTTTAATACAAATCATGACATAATAGTTACATAATAGATGTTCCCAGACCTCGCCCACTTGGTATTTATTATGATTGGGTTTTAATTTTATTGCGAGGAATCCTATTTTTTTTCTAAAATACAATTAGCCTGTGTTACTCCTTATAACTTCAGCTATTATCTGTCAGTGCCAGCTATAAGCTGGAACAAATAGATAGTAAGACAAACATATTAATAATTGTTTTTGTCTTATAGAAATACTGTATATACTTTTATATGTATTTAGTAAAAGGCTGTTATTTTGATATTACAAGCAGACATTTCAATGTATAGATTGTATTATATAATTGTATTAATTTGGAAATAAAAAAATCATCTATTTCATGTTGATTGCAACATTCATATTGACATTTAAAAAAATAAAATGGCTGCCAGCATCTGTAATTTTCAGTACGGCGTAGACTGCACCAGCAGCTTCTCAAGGTACGAGTGCTAGCGCCTTTTGCTATATGTGTATTAGTTTTGTCAGGTACAATGGGCCAAATATTGGGACAGAAGGTAAAAATAATCAATAATTAGATTTATAAATCAAATGAAATTTAGTTCCAATTCCAATACATATTTACGTGATTTTTTATATATTTGATTTATTTCAAAACCAATTTTTAATAGTCTGTTGTTGTTCGTTATGGTATGGCATAGTTTATCTTGGCACATAACTATCGTAAGTGGGTGTTACCTGTCCATGAAGTGCAACAATATCTGTATGACAGTTTATCTAAAAAAATACGAAACTTCATAGGCATGAGCTGTCACCTGCACCATTCTATAATGCAGAATATAGACTGTTTTACCAACTGTTAAATGTTTAGCAAAACATGTCATTGCAATAAATTAGAAATATTTGATGTGACAAACAAGACAATCATTAACATCAAAGGCCATTTAAGGCCGTATTAAAACTTTGATTAACATCCATACATTTTATGTATATTACCTTAATAAGATATAAATACAAAGTATATACTTACAAGACAATTTTTTCTATATATGTAAATTACATTGAATGATGAAACTTTAACCTTGATAGCACTTTTTATTAATTAAAAATGAAATTTAGAAGCACCTACCTTTATATATAATATAATGTTTATATATTTCAAAGTTATTATATATTTAAGTATAATTATTTACAGTAACCCAACCTTGCATAAACTGGATTTTGTATTTTCATCATTGTCTGCTTCTGATTTATCCGTATCATCATTCTTAAAACGCTTGTTTCTGATTTTGGAACTTTTTTGCTTTTTTTTTAATATTCTTTCACCTTCCGAGCCTGATGAAGTTTTGTGATTTTTACTGGAATTTTTATTTAATTCTTTTACATCATTTTTTTCAGATTCAGAAGTTGAATCCTTATTTAGTTGCAAATTTTTTGGTTTACTCTCTTCATCGGAACTAATCCCTTTCAGTAAAGACTCTTTAATTTCCTTCAAGGCACTTCTTAACTGTTCATCCTCAGTATCCGAGCTTGATGAGTAAGTCAGGAGCATTTTCTTAGCATGCATACTTTCCATAATGTGTCTTCTTTTAGACTTATGTGGTGAAACTTTTTCGATACTCCTTTTTCTTTTATTTAATGATATCGAAGTATTATCTGAAGAATCGTTTAATAATGAGGACTTAACTTTTTCAGAATCTTCATTCAGCTGAGGTGATGTATCTTTTTCACTATTTCTTTTTCTTTTGTTAGAAGCTGATAAAGCACTATCTGAGGAATCATTCAATAATGAGGATTTTACTTCATTAGGGTCTTCATTAAGTTGAGGTGATGGATCCTTTTTATTTTTATTATTGGATTTTAATGAATCATTATCTGATGAATCATTCATTAATGATGATTTAACTTTATTTGGGTCTTCATTAGGCTGAGGTGATGTATTCACCACATTTTTACTATCAGATTTTAACGAAGCATTATCTGAGGAATCATTCATTAATGATGATTTAACTTCATTGGGTTGAGGTGATACATCCTTTTTATTTTTATTATCAGATGATAATGAAGCATTAACTGAGGAATCATTCAATAATGATGATGAAATTACTTTATTGGGGTCTTTATTATGTTGAGGTGATGTACTACTATTGTCTCTAGATTCTGCTTCATGATTTTCCGAAAAATTCTGATCTCCCATAGTGTTACTCATCACTTCCTTTGGTGTAGAATTTTCTGAAAAATTCTGATCTCCCACAGTGTCATTTGTCACTTCCTTTGGTATAGAATTTTCATCATTTTTATCAGTTTCAACACCAGATTGTTTCCTATTTTCTAAGTCACTATGTTCGTCTGAATCACTGTCATTAAGAAGTGCATTTCTTATACTCTCTGCTTCTTTAAGCAAATCATTATCCATAATTTTATTCACAGATTTATCAGAATCAGAATCGTTTAATAAGCTATTTTTCACATGCATGGTCTCAGCTCTTGAATTTTCTGGAATTATTTTATTGTTAGAAGGTTCTTTTAAATTCTCATCAACAATTTCATCCATTGAAGGGTTTTTAGACAGCGGTGGTTCTAAATTCTCTTTACCATCCTCATTTAATTTTTTTAAAAGAGTTTCTAAATCACAGACAATACCACCATTTTGCACAATTTTATTTAAATTATGAGTCTTTAGAAAATCTACAGAGAAATTGGGTAGCCTATGGATATCTATTCTAAACTGTTTAGGTTTAAACAATTTTACCTCCTCTCTTTTCTGTTCCCAGTAATTCTCATCAGATGAATCATCAGTTAAGATATTTCTAGATTTCTTTTTTGGCTTGTTTGTGATCTGTTTAGTTAAGCTTTTTCGTACCTTATCACTTTTTTCTTCTTTTTGCTTAGTTTTCATTTTTAATCTTTCTTCTTCATCATCATCATCATCAATTTCCACAACCGAAATATTGGCTTTTTTCGATTCGTCAAGTAACTTATCTATATTCACACATTTTATAAATGTTTTCTTTGTTTCACTGGTTTCTGATGGTGCTTCATTTTTCTGGTCTTCATCATTAGTTCCATTATCAAGATACAAATCATTATTACTAGTTCTACTCTGTTCATTAATATTGAGCAAGCTTAAAGATTTATTATCCTGACGTAAGTTTGTGGACTCATTTTCTTCTAGTTGTGTAGTTTTACTATCATTATTATCCTCCCCTTTATTGCTATCAGAACTATCATCAAAAACCTGAATGTGTTTATATTTTTTTCTAGACTGGTGCATGTTTTTACATTCATTTTTAGATTCTTTGTCTATTTCTAGCTCCTCTTCAGATTTTTTATTTCTCATGAAATTATTTTCTCCAACATCATTTCCACATTCATTCGTTAGCCCTTCCATTCCTTTATCTTCTGTTGAAAGTTCTAAATGTAAACCTCTTAATGATTCATTTGAATTATTTGACCTGCTGTTGTCTTGATTGTCTTCATTTTTAGAATTCTCAACTGTGGTATTTACAACAGAGTCAACTAATCTATTACAAGTTTGTGATGTATCACTAGGATTATTACTTGAATTCTCTGATATAAACTCTTGCCTAAGGTCTTTTGTCTGGCCACTTTCACTGTCACTTCCCCTGCTGTATTTCTTTACAGTGTCTTCTGCTACCTTTTTAGCTATCTGTGCTTGTTTTGCATTTTCCTTATTTAGTTGGAATAGTTTACAATCATAATAAACCGGATACTCATTAAACACGGTTGAGGGCATAGGTTTTGCAACAACTTTAACCGATGTATAATGTTTAAGCAAAATTTTTTTCCTTATTTTTAACTTCTTGGATTCATATTCAAAATATTCATATGGAATATTAGATTCCTTTGAGTAGCGTGATGTTTTCCCGCCAGAATTAGTAGGGGCTTGCAATGCGTCAATATGAGACAAAAGATTTTTTACCCCAGTTTCCACATTATCAAGCGACTTTCTTGATAATTCGCAAATCAATAATACTTTATTGGCGGCTTTTTGAACGGCGTGTGTATTTTTTAATCGATCTTTTCTTATTTTTTTCTCTTTTAAATTCTCAGACCGAACCTTTAAATTCGATCCTAGTTTTGACAGATATTCCATTGCCTCACATAAGACATCACAAACAGGGACCGCGTCCGCCATTTCGAGATTACACCGTATTTACTTTTACTGTACTAAATCAGATTGCAAACGACACAAGTTCGATATGTGACATTTAGGAACACACTTTGTTGTAATACATAACTTAAAAACAATTCAAAATTATTTTTATCTTCCACCGCCTACTCCATTAAATAAAAAAGAAAATAATCCATAGAGTATAAAATGTTTTTTTTTAAAGTTCAATGAACGCAGTAACTTTTTTCGGGAACGATAAAATAAAAATATAAATATGTAACAATAATAACAATAATTTGAGACTAAAACAAACACCACATAATACACGAACAATTTGATGTAAACTTTTAATTATAGCATGACTTCAGTAATTTATGACTGTGTAGTGAACGTACGACATCGATGAGAATGTCATTTACGTGCATAGAAACGTCACATTCGCAAACGTATTGAACTTGGTCGTATTATACGAAATCACTACACATACAAATGTAACAAAATAGCGGCAATAGTAGGTACCTACGTATATACATACATTTGGTACTATATTATGTCGTGTAGCGATACATACTTAATTTTTTTCAATTTTTATAACACAAGCTATTAAAAATTTGAAGGAATTATTGCAAATGGATGTGAATTTGTGACACAACATTACAATTGGTGCATAAAAAGAAAACAAAGTATTAATTTTTTGTACTTACCTTTCATGTAAATGGCTGGTGTGGAGTTTCACAGAATTGTACTATAAAAACTGATCTTAACTGCAATTGTTACACATCATTGTAATATAACATAAGTCGCAAACGTTAAATTAAAGTCATATTTAGCTGATAGACCGAAAAATCGGCGAATTAAGCAAGGTAGGTAAACTATCCAAAACAGTCGTGAAGAAGAACCATAGATAGTAGCGAGAGACAGACTTTTTTATTAGGTAAATTACTCTATGGTCTACAAAGATAGTTTTATAATTTAGATTTCTGGCTTAAATGGATGTCTTTTAAGCCATGTATTCATTTATCTCAGTATCAAGTGATAATAATCATTTATAGTACGCTGCTGCACAATATGTTAATGCGTCACAATGCGTAGTTAGGGAATAGAGAGTTGGTAAAGGAAATTGATAGATCTGTACCCTAAAATACCAAGCCCTTGCTTGAATCCTTATTGCTCTTGCGAAAATCCATCAGATGTCAGATTGGTACTCTCTTTGGAAAAAAACCACAGAAGTCTATCGATAACTATTATCCAGAACTCCAACCTGACATCCCCATGAAAACCATGGTTTTTAGATTTATAAATGGCTCCAAACATAGTGCATCTGTCATATGTAGAATTAGATTGGGACACACTTGTTTACCTGTATTTTTGGCAAAACTTAAGATTTAAGATAGCTCAATTTCTAAGTGTGGATTAGACGAAGGTACGATCGATCATACATTTTTTAACTGCCCTAAACTCTCCATTTCATTATACTAATTTCTTCCTAGTAACATCCCTCGTTCTATAAATATTAAGTCTTTTCTAAATTTAGTTTACACTCCTTTTGTACAAGCTTTAATAGACTTCATTTCCATTAATAACATTAAAATATAATACTTACCTATATCCGTTTTATTATATTAGCAATACTTTTGTAAAATTATTATAATGTTAATTCATTCGAAAATAACTACATATTAAGTAAGTTCGTAAAGTGCACGCAAGATAAGTCTGCGCGTGACCAAAATTGGAACTGATCGTGTCGCCATCTTACTGTTTATGGCAAGTGTCTAAACTGAGTGTTAGGTGTCGTGATTTTATTCGTTTTTAGTTTCCTCGTGTCATTAATATCATGTATTTATAATGCATTGTTTTTATTTTGTTTTAGGTGTTTCTGAACGCACCGTCACCCTGACAAGTCAAGAGGTTAATATAGCAGAAGCTTTATTTCCTAAAATTGTGACGCCGAGAAAAACTAGGAACCTGAAGAAAAAAAAATTATGATTTAGACGATTTCGATATGTGCGCTATAAGGCATTTAATTCAATCGTTTTACGTTGTGAAGAAGGAGATTCCTACCATAAATAAAGTTTGGATGGAATTGAAAACTGATATTTTTCTTTTGTTTTTAAAAAACGTTACCCCCACACTAGGATTTTCTCCTGTGTCGTGGAGGCAGTTTACAAACATAAATTGCACAAGGACAAACTTCCAGACCCGGAACAATTATTTGTAGGCCATAAAAATACTTGTTCCGTGCGAGATTCGAACCCGCGGCCCCCAGCGCAACAACTGATTGCTAAGCCACTGCGCCACGGAGCCGTCATATTGGTTTTAAATATAGCAGAACATCGTTAAGGAGTATTTTAAAGACTATGGGCTACAAATACAAAAGGTGCCAGTCTAAACGAAAAGTATTGGTAGAACGCTGAGATATTGAAGCTTGGAGAGCAAAATATATTCTGTGGTTGCGCAAGAATCGTCAGGAAAAAATCGACCGGTCATTTATGTTGACGAATCGTAATACATGCTTCATTGGCCATCAGCCTGGTATTCTTGCTTCTGATATCGTTGGTGCAAGATGGATAATAGCCCATAGTGGAGGTAAAACTGGGTTTGTTGAAAACGGACTGCTACTGTTCAGGTCTAACTCCAAACCGAATGACTATCATGACGATATGAATTCCGCTTACTTCATGCGGTGGATGAAAGAAAAAATTGTGCCGTATCTTCCAACGGATTGCATAGTAGTGATGGATTATGCGTCATACCGCTGTACACAGATAAACAAGCCGCCTACAATTGGCAATACAAAAGCAGAACTCCAAGGATGGCTTACGAGAAATGGTATTAAATTTGAAGATTGTTGGACAAAAGCGCAATAATACAGATTAATTAAAAAACACAAAGGAGACCCACAGTATGAAATGAAACTAATGCTAAATGTACATGAACATGAGGTTCTCCGTTTGCCGCCTTACCACTGCGATTTAAATCCCATCGCAAATTTTTTGCCAATAGTAAAGAGGTGCATTGCAGAGAAAACTATCACTCAAGCTTCCAGCGAAATAGCTGCTATTACTGAGGTGGTGTTTAGAACAGTAACGACAGAAGAATGGCTCAATGTATGTCTACATGTAGAAAAAATAGAAGATAAATATTTCCAATCAGATAGGCTGATGGATATGGAAATGGATAAATTTGTAATTAATGTTACATCCGAATCTTCTGATGAAGACTCTAGCATGGATTCTGATGAAGATGTGGCAATGGGAGGCGTTGACCCACTGCAGGACCATTGTTACACCAAAATAAATTATACTAGGTTTTTAATAAAAGATTTCCTTGGACTTTTTATTTCGTTCTTTATAATAAATATTATAATGCTATTTCAGTTCTGTTTCAAATTACCTTTTCGGAAAAATTCATTATAGACAAAATATCAGTAATCAATAATCTTAGTATTAGTCACATTTATACTCATATAATAGGTACCTATAATTATGTAAAAAAATAATTGTAGTTGTGTAGTTAAACTTGTGTAGTGTAGTGCCAAACTTACGTTTTCTACGTGGTAGGGCCATGCTGCAGCTATATTATAGTTGTAGCACGAATGGGTCAAAAAATGAGAGGGGTTAAAAATGAGATTGACTTCATTATGACGACCAGACGACAACTGTTCAGTGATGTCTCCGTGATCGCGAGGTGAAAACTGGTTGCGATCACCGAATGGTGAGAGGCACACTGACCTAAACATTAAGTTGGAGAGGCCCCGTCTAATGAAGTCAACCCTCCGTCCCTCTCGTGCTCTATTCCAATGTCCCGAAACCTTTCAGCTCGAGTTACAAAACCTTTTTTAGTGCCTAGAAGACTGCAATGAAGTGGACGATATGAATGACAAGCTTGTGGAAACTGTCCATACGGTTGGAGCTAAGTTTTGCAAGACCCGCCGTAAAAGAACACAAAAACTCTCCGATCACACTCTTAATCTCATAGCTGTTAGACGGGAGATGAAGCTACAGTCTTCAACAGATTTGATAACATACAGGCAACTGAACAGACAGATCTCCAAATGCATTCGGCGGGACTTACACAACTTCAATACAGCTTGTATTGAAGAAGCGATTGAGCGGAACCAAGGCTCCAAAGTCTTTGCCAGAAATCTGTCTGCCAGAAAGAGCCAACTGTCAAAGCTGAAGACCGAGGGTGGCAGCATCGTTTCCAGGCCACCTGAGATTTTGAGTGAGATTGAGAGGTTCTATGGGCAGCTGTATACGTCATCGTAGGAGCCACACGCAAGTGTGAATAACGATCCAAGAGCGAGTCTTATCCGACACTATTCCGAAGATATCCCGGACGTCAGTCTGAGCGAGATTAGAATGGCTCTTCAGCACCTTAAAAACGGCAGAGCCCCAGGTGAGGATGGAATTACAGCGGAGCTTTTGAAAGCGGGTGGAAAACCGGTACTTGAAGTCCTTCAGAAGCTCCTTAATTCCGTCCTCCATGGTGACACTACTCCGGAGGCGTGGAGCAGAAGAGCGGTGATCTTGTTCTTCAAGAAAGGCGACAACGCGCTCTTGAAGAACTATAGGCCGATTTCCTTTCCGAGCCGCGTCTACGTGCTGTTTTCGAGAGTCATTACGAATCGTCTCGCACGCAGACTTGACGACTTCCAGCCTCCCGAACAAGCCGGTTTCCGAAAAGGCTTTAGTACCATAGACCACATACACACCCTTCGGCAAATTGTACAGAAGTCCGAGGAGTACAATTTCCCACTATGTTTGGCGTATGTGGACTATGAGTAAGCCTTTGATTCCGTCGAAATTCGGGCGGTCCTGCAGTCCCTTCAGCGGTGCCAAGTTGTGCAGTAGGGCTACGATGGCTATCCGAGTACAAAACCAGAGTACGAAACCTATCCAACTGCAGAGAGGTGTAAGACAGGGTGACGTTATATCCCCGAAACTCTTCACCGCTGCATTGGAAGACGTTTTCAAGCTCCTGGACTGGAAAGGATACGGTATTAACATCAATGGCGAATACAT